ATGTCACGGTACTCAATTTTGATGGCGCACAGTCCCGCACAATAAATTGGGAACTGTAATGTTACACTCCATACATGTACCTGTACAAAGCGGCTGTTCTTCCATACATGTACATGAACGTAGTAGGCAGCATACTGTACATGTACAGTATATTTAGATCTCCATTTTCATATCGCTGTTACATGTAAAAGTCCATTTTTTCAAGATCTGATGAACAATGCAAATGTACATGTACATGTAACTCGTTAGCAGTCCAAATGAAACATGACTCAGTTGCCTAATTAAATGGGATCACTCACATCACCAACAGCAAAATCCAGAGCCAAAAATGGCCTGGGGACTTGGCCAATTATCAGCTTCATTCCTTTCTCAGTAATTATCAGTGATACATGTACATGTACATGTACCGGGTACATGTACATGCACAGTGTCATTGATTGCTTCAACACTGGGGGTTATTTGGTGACTTTTAGTAGTGTTTATGCCATTTTAAAGGCACATTAATGGACATCTGGTTTCCCTGGCTTTCGAAAATGGGCAATAAAACAAAAATGATTAACGATAACTGTTAAAAAGTCAAGGTTACATGTACATCAGAGCTTATATACTGTACATACATGTACAGTACATGTATGCCACGTGCACCAACTGTAATTCCAAACTTCCTGAGATTTCCCCCCCCTCCATCCCAGTCATATAAATAGACTGATAAATTCGCACAAAAAAAGATTATACAACCTGCTTCTACATGTATTTTGAAATTGGGGGTGTTGCAAATCGTTTACTGCTACATGTACAGGTTTATGGAGAGTATTAAATCAAAGTTTAAAAGGCCAAACATAACTTTAGAGGTTTTAGTACAAGGGAGGCTGAATCCAAATCGAAGTTGATGATTTGACAGCCAGAAAATATCTCTGTCAGTTGTGATCACGCTCCCCTCGCATGCTAGGGATGACCTCTGGCAGATTAGTCATGACCTGCAGTGTGTTGCAGTGCAGAGCTGACAACTTCTAGCCTACTGTATTCTGTACATGTACATGTAAAGGTATGTCTGACATACAGTACCAGTACATGTACATGTAGTTGGTCTTGGTTCAAGAAGTGGTACCAGGTACATGTACATGTAGCTTTGGCCTTTTTTGTGCAACAGCTAGTCTTGGTTCATGGAGTGATAATTTCAATCTTTATCAACACAGCTTTTCTTTCTTCTCTTTTCAAGAAGTGAAGCCAAGATCAGCACGTAGAAAAGCGCACACACAAAAAAAAGCTTGGTTCAGAAAGATCATTTCATCAGAGGCAAGTCACAGGCTGAGGGAAACTTTGTACATGTAGATCTATCAACAGTGCTCACAGGATCTGGGATGATGAAATAATTCCCACAACATGACCACAGTGCAGACAAAAATGAAAAAGTCCTCGGTGGCACTGATGAAAAGTAGGACAATATCGATCCAATGCCAACTGCAGTATGAGGGTCCCATGGACTCTAATACTGTACACAGAGACGGAAATCAGGCACTGTACTTCATGTAAATCCATACGCAACTTTACAAGCCAGCACAAGGAGCCTGCCATTATGAATTTACCAAGGTGAATTTCAAAAACCATTTAGCTACTATAGCATTTTATTTCCTGAAAACTTGAAAAGGGACACATACCTTTCAAAAATTCCAGAAATTCAGAAGATTTCGTTCACTTGAAGTTTGCAAGAAAAGTCATTTTTAAAAATCCCTACTGTATCTGTGAAAGGACAAGTACAAACATGTACATGTACATGTAGGCCATGTACATGTAATTAAACATGGTACAGTCCATGTGGTTCCAATAAAATAAACAGTGGTGTCGAGTTCCGACTTTTATTGACAAAAGAGCAGATGTGTGTGACGGAAACAATAAACACACTAACTTCTCCTGCATTGGACAATCAACTAATGACAGCATTCCAATGGTACATGTACCTGTACGGTACATGTACAGTCGTGTATTTCATCGGTAGCCTGATGTGCAAATGTCATGAACTTGCCCTTGCAAGGAACGGACGTCAAAGTTCGATTCGCAAGTCATAAAGAAACAGCGTGTGAAGAAAAAAAACAGGGGATCCCGGGTTCCATAATTGGGAGCAGGTGGATGGGCTGATGCAAGGCAAGGATTGCAAAGGGGAAGGGGAAGGGAAGGGGGGGGTGGGAAGGAGAAATGAGTCATCCATAGCCCAAGGAAATGGGGACAACCCCTTTGGTTTGAAAGAAGACTGCATCGTATATAAACACAGCTTGTTAGCTCACCGTGCACCTGTGTTGTTTTCAAGTCGATTTTTTCGGCAAGATGTGAGACCTCACACTATTCTGAAGCCTACACATACACGTAGTGTATCAGATACGAGCCAAATCCAACAGGAATTCATATTCAGAGATGTTCAAAGCTTTTTTTTCTCATGTTTCATCTTAAACCTCCATGAACCTGTACAGCGAAATGACCGAACTGACCAAAATGTTTGGACGCTTTTACAGAATTCAGAAAGACACTGGCGACAGCCCAAGTACATGTATTACTTTCTACACGGGGCTCAATATGAAGTTGCAATGCCCGTTGGAAGTTGGTACAACGTAACAGTACAACGTGTGCCATCAACTCACCCAAGTCTGTATTTGCCTGCAACTGGGGACCCCCTATTGTTCCT